AGAGCGGGCGGCAGTGTCCACTGCCTCTTTGCAACGCGCCCCGAGACCAAAGCGGTCGTTGGCTTGAGTCAAACCGGCACCGACTGCTTCATCGTGTACCACACGGACGCCAAGACGACCCACTGCGTGCGCGTGAGCCTCTTGCCAAGCATCGATCTGCACCGCCTTCCCAAAGAAATCAAAACAAAAAAGGACGCGGCGGTTGGGTACGTGGACATGGACGCGAATGAACCGATCATTTGCGTCGGAGCCAACGCGTCGCCGTGGGTCAGGCAGAGATTTTAAAAATGGCCAACTGCTGTGAATCATTTCCAGCTGTAATTCCATATTCCTGTAAATCGGTATGATGGGGTTAGGTTATTTACGGCTTTGAAAAATGCCTGCGCACACATGTGATGATGTATTAACTCGTTTACTCGACCTCCAGGTCTCGGTCTTGCGCTCACCGCGTCCATTGCACCGTCGTCACCGACACACACAATGGAGGCGGAATGCCGTTCTGGACGGCCCCCGAGATGCTCCGGAAAGGCCAAACCTACACGGACAAGGCCGACATGTACTCGTTTGGCGTCATTTTGATCGAGCTGGAGACGCTGCAGCTGCCGTACGCGACGCAGGACAGTGACGACGGCACCTTTCGTGGCGACGTGCGCGATGGAAGCAGCCGAGTATCAGCAGCACATGTGCACCGTGGATGCGCGACTTCATTTCTCGCTGCCCTGCGTACAACCCGTCGGAGCGTCCATCAGCCCAAGAGTTTGTCGATTTGCTACCGGGTCGACCCAAAGACTAGTTCATTGGTGCCGGATCGATTTCCATCGCGAAAATCGTGGACTCGAACGGCAGTGTGTTCTCCTTCCTTTTGCCCCGTGGAGCGGCACAAGAAACTCAGAGTTGTTCCGTGCTCGCTGTCCGCTATACGACCGCTCCTCTCACGAATATTGATATCGGCGATGTCATCGCCGTCGATAGCATTTTCGCACGCGAAACACCCCAAACGGTATACCGCTTGGGCGGTCGCTGCCATCTTCCAACTTGCTTGGTTCCCGCGCTTTTTTTGTCCGGGTTAAATTAGCAAGCCGTTACCTTTGCACGTGCGTTGCTGCTGGACTTTTCGTCTCGACTAAAAAGACAGATGCAGTACGCGGCGGTCGTGCCCGCCGCCGTCGCGCAGCCATCGACTGTGCACTGGAACAAGCGGTCGGTCGTCTTGAGCGCCATCATGTTTCTCAACGTAGCCATCATGTACACATTGTCACTCGTCCGCGCGACAGGATGTTACTCTATGTCTAGGCCGCTCAAGGCCTACATCTCCGAGCCCTTGCCTTCCTTGTCGAGCGAGAGTAGCACGTCGCTGCCACCGGCGTGTCGAGAGGGCAACATGGCGGTCTGTACCTCGGACTTGCTAGCTTTTTTTCACAACCAAACCCATCAAGTGGCCAACACGCACTTCTTTGCCAGCACCGCCTTTGACCTCTACCACGAAACGTTGCCCCAAGCACCCAGCCCTCCGCTCGTCGCCAGCGACCTCCCATACTATGTCATTTACACCTACGACCAGACGAAGTTTGCGTCTCAATTGGTGGCCAACGCTTCGGTGCCAGCACCGCTGGCAGCCACGTCGCGGCTGCTCAACGTATCCATCTTTTACCACGCCCTCTGGACTCGAAGACGCAACGACACGTCAGTCGTCGACTACTACGTTGGCATTCACCGCACGACGCCCGTGACAGCGTGGGTCACCTTCAAGCTCGTGGCGCGCTGCGTCCTAGTCTTGTATCTCGTGCGATGTATGTGGCGCGACTACTACCGCCACTGCCTTACCCTCGCCACCAACCTCCGACTCTATGGAATCGAGAATGCCAAGCACCTGTATCTTTTAGTCGGCGATCCCACGAGCCAGATTTTACAGCATCCCGTCGTCCTCGCGGCTTTTGTA